CCGGTCAATCTCGTGGCCACGGTCGAGTCGATTCTCAAACAAACCGGGGAATCCGACGAAACAAAGCAACTCATACGACAGCAGGTAACCTCCTTGGTGATGGCGCACAAACCACGTGCAACTATTACCAAGGCCGAGCAGAGTGCTCTCAAGACACTGAGGGCTGACACCAGCATCGTGACTCTACCAGCAGACAAAGGACGCTCCACAGTTGTGCTGGATAAGGCAGACTACATTCAGAAAGCCAATGCCCTACTGGGGGACCGACAGGCGTACCTACCGTGTAACGATGAACCGATGAGGAAACTGGTGACGCAACTGGACAAGACACTCGCCGACATGCAAACCAGCAAGACAATAAATAAGTCGGTACGACTGGCCATTAAGCCAGTAGACGCGGCCGCACCACGCTTTTACGGACTGCCAAAGGTACACAAAGCCGGGGTGCCCCTCCGGCCAATCGTATCATTGCGCGACACACCTACATTCAATTTGGCTAAATGGATGTTCCGAAACCTGAGGTCTCTCACCTCGGACGCGGTCACGACGGTCTGTTCAGCGACTCAGTTCCTGGAGCGGATCAAAGGGATGAGACTTACCGAAGACGACGTCATGGTGTCATTCGACGTCACTTCTATTTTCACTTCGATTCCGCAAGACCTGGCAGTCGAAACGGTCAGCGAGCTGCTCGAGAGTCAGTATGACGAGACGGGCGTGACGATAAAACGGAGACATCTCGTCCAACTGCTGAGATTCTGCCTGAAGACGTACTTTACCTTCGAAGGTACGACCTACGAGCAGGTCAAGGGGACGCCAATGGGATCGCCGCTCTCGGGCTTCATCGCAGAGGCAGTTCTTCAAAAAGTAGAGACCCTAGTTTTCGCAGCCTATTAGCCGAAATTTTGGACTCGATATGTCGATGATACCTTCGTTATCATTAAGCGGCAAAATGTCCAAGAATTCCATGACATCCTGAACTCTGTTTTCCCTGACATCCAGTTCACAATGGAGGCGGAAGTCAACAACCAACTGCCGTTCCTGGACGTTCTCGTCCATCGAAAACCAAATGGGCACTTAAAAACGACGGTATATAGGAAGGCCACTAATACGCGTCTAATCCTGAGCTTCCACAGTAAGCACCCGTTGTGCCACAAACGCAGTTGTGTGCGAACACTCTACAGAAGGGCAGAAACACACTGCAGCGAGCCGGACGACAGAAAGTCAGAACTACGCTACCTCCAGCGCCTCTTCATGTCCAACGGGTATCCGCGCAACTTCATCGAACGCAGCAGACAGGCCGGACTGAGCCGACGTTTGGAAACAGAACGGCCAAAAATATGGCGGGCGCTTCCATACATCGATGGCGTTTCTGAGGCGGTCTCCCGTCTCTTAAGACCGCTGGGGATCGGCATCGCCCACCGACAGGAGTCAACAATTCGACATCTGGTCATGAGACCTAAGGCCCCTCTGCCACCAGGTGAAACCACGAACGTCATCTACCGGATCCAGTGTAACTCCTGTGAAGCCAACTACATTGGGGAGACGGGCAAACGACTACAGACCCGTGTTGGAGAACACATGAGGGCAGT